CCTGTTAATTGCTCCCGTTTTCTTGCTGAAATAGGAAGCAGGGTCAGTCTCTGAGAGAGAGGATGAAAGAGGAGGTATGGAGGGTAGGAAAGAGGGTAGTAAATAGTTGTGTAGGACAGTGAATGGACAAGAGAAAATAGAGTATGATTGGCCGGCAGCATTAAGGACCCACTTGAGGGTGGATACTTGAAATCAGCATATTGGAGGGGTTGTAGCTATTGGTAATTTTAAAGTTTAGGATATGGAGCTAATGGCTGAAATAGTGTAGAGGAGAAGGTCTTTGGAAGAGAGGAATTCAAGGAACTGAGAAGGCAGCTCGATGGAAGGATCACTTACATATATATGAAAATCTCCAAAAATTAAGAAATGAATAGAGTTAAGACAGTGACAGTGAAGGCCATTGCTAAATGAAGGATAGTGACCAGGGGTCCACAGATAGCAGCAATAGGACAGCACTGAAAATGGCATAGTAGGGACGTCCAGAGCTCTGTCCCTCCATAAAAGCAACCAGTGAATTGGCAAAAACTCTCAGTCAACTTTTACAGAACTCTGGAATTTAGCAAAAACCTTGAAGTGACCAAGAAAAGGCTTGGTGAAGAAAGAAGATGCTGGTCTGGGGTAAGAGAGCACTGTGGTGTCTTAAATTGCTTGCCTACTATCGCTCACACCCAGATTGGTGGTGTCTGTGAGACGATAGAAGCCCACATTCCTAGTGCAGATTGCTAATGCCAGAGGATACAAAGAATTGTTCTCAAAGAGCTGTGGGTTGTGACCTGTCTGGCTGCTTCCTGAAGGACTGGTGCAAGGGCCTGTCTTTGTTTCACCAGACTGGCGCTATCCCCAGGGCTGGGGTAGTTTTGACAAAAGTATTTAAAAGCACAACTATTGGCTTTAGCAGCCTGGAGCAAGAGACAACAATCAAATAAGCAATAGAGAGACTTGAAAGCCTAGAAAGGAAGGAGTTGGATAAGGAGATACGTGGGAGAATAAGGATTTTTAAAACGCTCTTTCATATACCAGGGAATTGCAGGAAAAATGGCCACGTACATGCTCAGAACTGAATGCGGGCTCAGAAAAGAGCTGAGAAGACCCCTAAGCCTTTTCCTCTGGCTGACCTTCAGGCTCTGCACAAGCGGGAAGTGAAAACTAAGGCAGAGTTGCAAATGACCTGGCCGAGTGTTGAGGAGGCCCTAACAATACAGCCAGTGTGCAAAGACCAGAGGAGTATTTTTTTTTCTCTTTTTTCTTTCTTTTTGTTTTGGCTTCAGGCCTTTAAGAAAATTCAAAGCTAACAACACAGATTTAAGTAGCCACACAAGACAATAATACAGACTTTACAAAGTGAGTTTAGAAAAGTCACTAAAAAAGCAAGCAACAATAACCCATAATAAGCAGCATCAACAAACCCCTCAGAGAGGCGGCAGGATCTGATTTTAAGAGTTGTCACATGATCCTCAAAACGTCTGGTTTTCATGAAGAAATGAGGTATGCAAAGCAAAGCATGGCTCATTCACAAGGAAAAATAAATTAGTAGAAACTGTCCCTGAGGAAGCCCAGGTGATGGACCTACTAGGTCAATTAAACTAACATTTCTAAATACGCTTATGATCTATAGGAAACCATGGGCAAGGAACTAAAGCAAACCAGGAAAGCACTGTCTCACCAGGTAGAGAATATCAATAAAGAAATAGAAATAATAAGAAAGGAACCAAATAAATTCTGCAGTCAAAAAGTATAACTGAAGTGAAAAATTAACTAGAGGGGCACAAGAGCAGAGTGGAGGAGGCTGAGGAAACAGTCAGCCAACTTGATGAGTCAATTGAAGTAGATCAGGCTGAGGAGCTGAAATAGAAAAGAATGAAGGAAAATGACAGAGCCTAAGAGACCTATAGGACACCATCAACTGTACCAATATGGGCATTACCGAGTCCCAAAAGCTGAGGACAGGGAAAGGGACAGAAAAAATAATGGTTGAAAACTTCCCGAATTTGAAGAAAGAGATGAATGTGCACATCTAAGACTTTCCATTAATACCAAGCAGGGTAAACTCAAAGGATATCTGCGCTGAGACCCATTTTAGTCAAATCATCAAAAGACAGAGAATCTGGAAAGCAGCAAAACAGGTGACCCATTGCATACAAGAGATTGTCATAAGATGAACAGCTGATTTCTCTTCAGAAGGCAGTGGGATGGTGTATATAAAATGCTAAAATAATAAAACTGACAACCAGGAATTCTATACTGAACAAGATTGCCCTTCAACAATGAGAGATTATGAGCTGGACTAGTAGACCTGCCCTACAAGAATGCTAAAGGGAGTCCTTCAGACTGAAATGAAAGGACACTAGGTAGTAACTTGAAGCCGTGTAAAGAAATAAAAAGAACCCTGGTAAAGGTAACTGCATAGGTAAATATAAAACCAATATTACTGTATCTTTTAGTTGTAGGCCTTCCTTTTTTCCTATATGATTTAAAAGACAAAGGAATTAAACAGTAATTATAAATGTAATTGGCACACATTGTGTAACACTGGAGGGATAGAGATATATACGTGCTTTCTGTATACTATTACATTGAGTTTTTATATAGTATTAAAACTAAGTTGGTATTAATTCAAACTATGTTATTACAAGTTTAAAATGTTAATTGTAATATCCCAGGTAACCAATAAGAAAATAACTAAAAAACACACAGAAAAGGAAAGGAGAAGGGAACTAAATGGTACATTCTAAAAAAAACAAGCACAAAAGAAAGCAATACTAGAGGAAATGAGGGACAAAAAATAATGTAAGACATGGAAAACGAATAGCAAAATGGCAGAAAGCCTTCCTTGTCAGTACAGTTGACCCTTAAACAACATGGGTTTGAACTGTTCAGGTGCACTTACATGGGGAATTTTTCCAATAAATATATTGGGAAATATTTTTGAGATTTGTGACAATTTGAAAAAAAACATTTTATTGTAATAATACAGTATATAATACATATAACAGAAAATATGTTAATCAGCTGTTCATGTTAATGGTAAGGCTTCTTGTCAGTAGGCTATTAGTAGTCATGTTTTTGGGGAGTCAGAAGTTATGTGTGGATTTTCAACTGTAGAGGTCAGCACCCCTAACCTACCCATGCTGTGTTGTTCAAGGGTAAACTATAACACTTTAAATGTAAATGGATTTAACATTGTAATAAAAAGGACATAGTTTCATAGAATGTATAAGATAGCATGATCCAACTTCATGCTATCTGTAAGACTCACTTTAAATACAGAGATACAAATATATTGAATGTGAAAGTGTGGGCATTGGTATCCCATGCAAATAACATCCAGGAGAGACCTGGGTAGCTCTTTGAATATCAGGCAAAATAGACTTCACTCTATAAACCAATTAGAATTGACAGGCATATATAGAACACTCTACCTAACAATAGATGACACATTATTCTTAACTGCACATATAACATTCTCCAGGGAAGACCCTTGGATGGCAAAGTAAGTCTCAGTACATTTGTACAAAACATATTATTTGACTATGATGGAATAAAACTAGTTAACAGCAGTAGTGATTGATAAGAAATCCAAAGCTGGGTGGGTTTTAGTGAGGGTGCAGGGAAAAAAATAGACTGAAAACAACTATAAAAAGCAAAGATGACTCGTACTTCACCTCCAGGCCTAGTAGTGTGGGGCCTGGGGAAAATAGCCACCAGGTTACAGTGGGAGTGGTGTTCCTAGAGAGTGCTAGGCTCTGTTCAGGCATGAAGGTGGAGGGGACATTTAGAGGACAGGTTCAGATATAGGGGGTTTTGCTGAGGACGAGTCATGAATTCAAGAGGATTCCATGGAAGTTTCTTGAGAATGTGGAAAAGTGGAATGGACAGGACAGAATAAGGATTGTGCAGGGCAGTATCAGGAGCAGAGTATGGAAGCTGACGTATGGCTGGGAGTTGGGGGCTTGTGGTGACTCATTTAAATAGAGATAATGGAAATAATGAGAATAATACCTGGTGGATTCAGGTAGTGAGCTTTTGTGGGTTTGCTCTGAAATCCTGACTACCATTTTTTTATGGGAAATATTTTGATACTAAGTAATCATGTACAAAAGTTTATAATTAAACTCTTAAGTTGATGACATCTCTTATCTCTTAAAAATTAGAGTAGAACAATGCCTTTTTTAATGATAAACCTATTTGATTTTTTATGTTCATATGGTATGTGCAAAATACCTGTCACAGTTGTGGGGGTAGCCTTACAAAGATCTCATTTTCAGTTTTGAGAAGCAAAACAGTATATTGTTACTGTTTGCTTTTTTATTTTCATTTGGCCATTTAGTAATTGCCAGTTGTCCTCACTTCACTCTTCCATTCATCTGACCACAAGCAGTTTAAAAATTAGGGAAAGGTCTTCCTGACAGCATTCAGATATCCTTGTTTCTATGTATGGTCTGCAGGGCTGGCCTAGAATTGACCATTTCTATTTTAAAATGTTGATTTATCCTTGTGTAATATGTATAGAGACCTGTTTTAAAGGGGACGTCTGCTGATTTACATAGCACAAAACCAAGAAATAAAAGAATAGGGAGAAAAAATTAAAGCAGACACAGAAAGTGCTGCACTTACCAATTTGTTAGTCTATCTGCATCTCCACTGAGAACACCTAAAAAATCAAGGTAAGAAAACACAAAAACAGAAACCCAAACTAAATATTATGCAGTATAAAATGTTACTCTATTCAATTTCCAGATTTTATTAAACTATTAGCATGCATTGTAAAGTATATCCATTTTTGAAATCTTTCCTCATGCTCATTAGAAGATGTTCTAATATGAAAAAGGATGTTGACATAAGTATCTTTGTCCTGCATTCAGATGTTATGTATGATCAGGAAGAGGAATGAAGCTTATTGTTAACCTAGAGTTATTTAGTCTCTTTTTATTGGTAGATAAAGGATATGATTTTAATTGTATTTTATGCACTAAGAAGAAACTTTTCTTCTGTTCTTCAAGGAACTAAATGGAGAGACCCCTTCATCTTTATACAGAGCTGCAGCAGTACTTCTACAATTTAATCTTATTGATTTAGATGGTCTTTATGTACATGTAAGTCAATAGGCTGCTAACAATATTTAGTTGTCCATCCCAGGGGTGCGGGGAGGAGTAGACAGCCTTTATAGCACTCCAAGGTTGGTCCTAGGCTTTCACGTCTTAATTTTTGAAGCCTTAATGCTTCATTGCTTTGTGTTTACTTTATAAAGGGAATGAATTTAATGCTTTGTCAAACTGTGGAAATCAGATACTTTAATCATCCTTGCAGGATTCAAAGTTGGATATGACATTCTCAGTTGTCATCAAGGCATATCTCATGGGGGAGAAGCCAAATTCTAAACAGTGTGGATTTAGACTTCTCTATTATACCTAAATCACAGGAAATGTGGGATTACCTAGATACTTGTTCCTTTTCCCCAAAATGTTAATTTTAGGCATTTAGGATGAATTTCCGGATCCAGGATCTAGAAGAGTATGTATGAGATTGTGATTGATGACCTCTAGTTTAACAACAATTTAGCCTGTCAGTTTAAATAAAACTAAGTTTGTAGTATACCAATTACTGTTTTATTAGGTTGTGTGCTAGGATATCTGTGAACTTAAACTTGTCCAAAGCTGACATAACCTTCACTGCTTTTGCAGTCACTTTCCAACTTTCTTGCTTATCATGTACTGTGGTTTACAGAGTTGACTACAACTTGGTCTTTCCCTTGGAGGCAGTCATAGTCTAGCAAGGGAGAAACATTTTGCATTATATAGTAAGTACTCTGCTGGAGGTATTCACAGAGTGCTGTTGGGTCTTAGGATAGATAGTGACTCTCTATGTTGGAAGGCTTTTCCAGACTAGTGATGTTGAACTGGGATCTTGATAGATGTGTAGGTGTTGGCTAAGCTTACAAGGTAGGAAGCTTTGTAAGTAAAATGAACTGGGTATAGAGGTGGAGGTTTGAAACGGCCTTATCATCACCTCAGGGGAACATCAGGAAGCTCAAAGTCATTGGACCCTGGGCTGGTATGTACGGGAAATGAAGATGGAGAAATGGATTGGGGCTGAGCTGTGTTCACTTCATAATAAACATGTGTTCACTAGCAAGATGTGGCGTGGCAGTTGTAACTTTATATGCACCCAGTAATACATTCCCAAAATAGACAAAACTAGAAAAAGAAATTTAAGAAGCTTAAAGTTCATCCATTGTAATGAGAAATTTTTGAGACAATTGGCAGTACTCTATATAAAAGATGGGGACCTACAGCAGATATATAGGAAAACAATAAAAAGAGAGGGCCTAAGTAATGAGCAGTGGGGAGCGTAATGGATGACAAAGGTTTGTTTAATTCCTTGTACCAGTCTATAGTGACTTTTCTTCCACTCCCTCTTTTGACTAATGGGACAAAGGCTACAATATGTAGTTTATTATTTCACTGTTGCCTTTTTTTATTTGCTGCTGGTTTACTTTGCATTAGATTTAGCTACTGAATTAGATTATGCATTTCTTGGGGCAGGTACACTTTTATAGCTCACTATAGTGCCTAGCAGAAACTACTAAATAATGGATTGTTGGCTGTGTTTTTCTTTGTGTCTGGGTTACTTTATGAAATGTCCACATTAACCATCTTCCATGCATACAAGATGGCTGTATTTGAGATACTCAGTCCTTTTTCATGTTGGAGGGTCAGCTATACACAATAGTAATAAACTAGAAACTAGTTTGTGACTTAAGTCATATAGTTGTCTAGGAAATGACAACTAAGATGTCAAATTGTTTATAATTTTTCTACTTTAGATTTTTCATTTAGAGGAATCAAATTTATGCTGTTATGTAATTCAGTAGCTCACCTCTCCCAAATTGTATCTCTATGTAGTACTTTATTTAATTTGGAGTTTGTCCTTTAGAGGGGTAATCTGATATTTTTAATGGAACAGGTATACATTTATTGGGTAAACCAAGTTCAGTGGTAAGCATCACTGTTATAGTATTGTGTTAACATGAAACTTTGAACTGCTACAAGATGTTAAAAGGTATACAAAATTTAAGCTCTTAATTAGATTATAAAAGTATAATGGAGAGAAACATATTTAGAAGGGATATCATGGTCATGAATAAGCTTGACTTTGTTCTTTTCAGTTTTATTAATTGAGTGTTGCGTTTGCCTTTTATGTGCAAATAGTATTAGATGTTATATGAAATTTTAATGAACCATTTTTAGCTTCTTCCAGCTGATAATTGTATTATGGATGAACACGAACGAGAAATTGTGGAAGCTAAGCAAATTGTTAGAAAACTTACAATGGTTGTATTGTCTTCGGAAAAAATTGATGAGCGAGAGAAAGAAGAGAAAGTAGAGAAGGTATGTGGTTCATTCTAGTAAAAACATTGTCTTCTGGATTTAGAATTATTTAATTTAATTAGTTGATCAACAATTTATTAATTTTGATTATGCTGAAGAAAGGTGGTTTGATTTCTTACATACATTTCAAAATGAGTTCTAAGTAAAATCACAAATGTATTTGTGACTTTTATTTGTGCTCTGTCTCTGAAGTCCCAAGGGGTTCTCAAAGGTGAATGAGTTCTAGTTTGCTGTGGCACAGAACATTAAGTACAGTGTAGTATATAATCCTTAGTCTACAAACTGTCACACTGTGTCTGCTAAATGAAAAAACAGATCCTGTTTTTTTTTCAGTTGGTAAAAAACTTGATTGTAGTTCCTGGAAAATACCATTGCATTTACCATGAATGGCAGCCATAGTTGACATACATTGTTGTATTATTTAGCTCAAATTAGGATTTATTGGTGTCTGGTCTGTGTTCTTACTGTAATTGTTTATTTTTAGCCACCTGACAACCAAAAACTTGGTTTGTTGGAAGCCTTGTTAAAGATTGGTGATTGGCCGCATGCCCAGAACATTATGGATCAGATGCCTCCATACTATGCAGCTTCACATAAGCTAATAGCCCTTGCTATTTGCAAGCTTATTCACATAACTATTGAGCCGCTCTACCGAAGGTATGTTAGTATATGCTTTAGTACTCATTGAGGTAGAATTAGATTAGGACTATAAAAAATCTGCATGTTTATCCTGTCTCTTCAAACCAAGCATATATTTTAGTATGTTTTATCAGAAGATACAAATTATTCACAGTGTATCAGTTTGATATGTGTTAATTAGTGACTTGTCTCCTAACATCTATATCAGGTGTTACAGAATGTGTGCTGCAGTGTAGTCTAAAAAGTATAAGTTAGAATTTTAGGTTGAGTTTGTTCCATTGAGAGTGAAAACTCCATTCTTCTGTTCTTTACTTTTTCTCCTATATGAGGGGTATAGAATTCTAAGGTTTTTACTTAGTGTATTTTCCTCTATCCTGGGTTGAGTGGCTCTGAGTGAGGCCTTTGCCTCTCTGCTTGCCTTATCTTTCCTGGCATTTAGGCTGCTGTTGGGAAAATTGCTAGTGCAGCCTTTCTCATCATCCCTAGTTACTGTGTCGACCAGTCCTCTAGTCCTCAACCTACTTGCAGGATACTTAGGAGCAGTATTGGCAGAAGCTCTGGCTTCTGCCCCAGAGAGCAGAGCCTACCTCAAAAGCCCCAGCCTTGTGACTTGTGGATAGCGACTGGCGGCTGGCTGCTGCCTTCAGTGCCACCTGGGCTGTGGACCATGAAGGCTTCTTCTCAGAGAGTGACCCCTGTGACTCCACAGCAGGTGAGAACTCTGGGCATGCTGTGCTTTTTAGTGTGACACACTCTTTCATTATGCTGCTCACCTTCCCTTCCACCACCTACCTCATACTCCGTCTAGCTAGTGGAACCCAGATTGAGAAATGTTTATTGACTTAAGTCAGTGTTGTTTTATCCATATTTTTCTGTTTCATCTTCCAGTGTCTCTGACATCCATCCCTTGTTCCCCATGCCCATATTCAAATTCCTGATACTGGCCAAGTTTAACTAAAAACAAATTCATATGATGTATGTTAAGTGTTACTTGAAATTTGCATTTTTCTTATTTCCTTTTCTTAGGCTCTAAATTTAAAGCATTCTCCTCTGAGTTCTTGATTTTTTTTCAAATGAGTATTGGTTTTGTATTTTCTACTAGTTAAATTATCTGGTAGAATAAAGTTAGGCACAGTTGAAATATAGAAAGCAAATATGAGCAAGAAAGGTTTTACTTACTGATTAATATGACTGTATTAATTTAAAATGGGCAATTCAATAGTATTAATAAGAATTTTACTTCCTTTTATAGAGTTGGCATTCCTAAAGGTGCTAAAGGCTCACCTGTTAATGCTTTGCAAACTAAGAGAGCACCAAAACAAGCAGAGAGCTTTGAAGACTTTGAGGAGAGATGTCTTCAGTATGTTCTGTTACCTTGGTCCTCATCTTTCTCATGATCCCATTTTATTCACGAAAGTGGTGCGCATTGGCAAATCATTTATGAAGGAGGTTAGTAAGAGTCTTTTTTTCCAAGCAGAAAACTAAGTTGTGGAGTGAACATGTTCTGAGCTTATTTCTGTTTTTATTTCTCTTGAAATTAAAAGAACATGAACTTAAGAAAAAAAGGTTGATGGTTAAAGTTTTGGGGAAAGTCCATTGTATCCTCTCTCTCTCTATCTCTCTCTCTCTGTCTCTCTCTCTCTCTCTCTCTCTATATATATATATATATGTATATATATATATATATGTATGTATGTATGTATGTATGCATGTATGTATGTATAGACATATATAGATATATAAAACTTAAATTTAGCTAGATTATTAGTTGTTGCCCACATAGGAAAATATGCTTTGGAACAAGTGATTGCTTTTGAATCACCTTATAATTAGTGGTTGACTCAGTGTTCTTTCCTCTTGCTTTTCTTCTGCTCAGTTATTTTCTTAGCTGCAATTTTGAATCATTGCCATGATTTGTATGAAGTCCAAACTGTTGAGGAGGACCCATTCCTTAATTTTTATAGTAAGCTTTTCATTGAAATAAAGTACACAAATCATAATTGTACAACTCAGTGGCTTCTTCCAAACAGAATACCCATGTGTCCCCCACCCAGATTAAGAAATACAACAGTACCGGTGCACCAGAGTTTTCCTTGTACTCCTTGTGGTCGCTACTCTATGAGTAACCATTTGTGCTGCTTTATTTTAAATCATCTTTGAGTTATTATTGACATACAGTAAACGTCACTCATCTTAAGTGTATAATTTGATGAGTTTTAACAGATGTGCACACGTTGTGTGTTCACCACCACAATGATAACATTAAATATTTTCATCATCACCCCAGGAAGTTCCCTCTTGGTCATTTCCTTCCCCTTCATTTCTGGTTCCTGGAAACCACTGGTAGGCTTTCTGTCACTATAGTTTTGCTTTTTCTAGAACTTCATGTAAATGGAGTTCTATAGAACATACTCATTTCTGTCTGGTTTCTTCCACTTAATGCTTTTGAGATTCGTCCGAGTTGTTGCATAGGTCAGTAGTTCCTCGATTGCTGAGTAATATTTTATTATATAGACATACCAGAGTTTATCCATTGACAAGTTGATGGGCATTGGGGTTGTTTCTAGTTAGGGGCTATTATAAATAAAGCTGTTATGAATATTCTTATACAAGTCTTTGGGGGTTGAGGGCACATTTTTTCCCCAGGAATGGGATTGCTGGGCCATACAGATAGGTCTATATTTAACTTTTTGCCAAACTATTCCAAGATGTGTGTATCATTTTGTATTCCTGGAAGCAATGTATATGACTTCCAGTTGCTTCACATCCTCATCAACACTTGGTATTGTCAGTCTTTTTAGATTTTAGTTATTCTAATGGGAGTGTAGTGGTATCTGTTGTGCTTTTAATTTATGTTTCCCTGGTGATCTGTGATGTTGAACATCTTTTCATGTCCTTTTTTGCCATTTGCAATCATCTATATTGAAATGTACATTTAAATCTGCAGCCCATTTTTAGGTGGGTTGTCTTCTATTATTACTTTTCACTGTGATTTGCCTTTTCATTTTATGAACTGTCTTTTGAAAAGCAAAAACTTTTAATTTTGATGAATTCCAAGTTAGCAGTACTTTTATGGCTTGCTTTTTGTATTCTAAGAAATCTTTGTCTAATCCAAGGTCTTAAAGCTGAAAAGAATACATTATTTCTTTTCAGTTGTTAAACAAGGCAGCCAAAAGACTAGAAATTGTTACAAGCACAAATGCAGTTTTCTCCAGTGTTTGGTAATTGCATCTAATTTTGATTTATATGTATATGTGTGTGTGTGTGTGTGTGTGTGTGTGTGTGTGTGTGTGTGTGTGTATAATTTTGGTATCATTAATATCCACTTAAATGAGCAACATTGTGTTTACTAGATTCCCCCCATTATCAAGTCACCACCACATACCCCATTACAGTCACTGTCCATCAGCATAGTAAGATGCTATACAGTCACTAATTCTCTGTGCTATACTGCCTTCCCAATACCCTGCCACTACATTATGTGTGCTAATTGTAATGCCCCTTTTTCCCCTTATCCTTCCCTTCCCACTGATCTTTCCCAGTCCCTTTCCGTTTGGTAGCTGTTAGTCCATTCTTGGGTTCTGTGAGTCTGCTGCTGTTTTGTTCCTTCAGTTTTTGCTTTGTTCTTATACTCCACAGATGAGTGAAATCACTCAATACTTGTCTTCCTTCACCTAACTTATTTCACTGAGCATAAAACCCTCTAGCTCCATCCATGTTAATTTTGATTTTTGATAATAGTAACTGCCTAGAAAATTTAACAGCTGTTGTATATCAATCCCTTGGCTACTGAAATATTTGATATGCCATTTAATACTTAGCTGGTCAAATTTTTTAAATTTTTTAATTTTTAATTTTATTTTGGTATCATTAATCTACAATTACATGAGGAACATTATGTTTACTGGCTCCCCATTTCACCAAGTGCCCCCCATAAACCCCATTACAGTCACTGTCCATCAGCGTAGTAAGCTTCTGTAGTCACTAATTGTCTTCTCTGGGTGGCACATCCCTCCCCATGCTTCAACCCACATTATACATGCTAATCGTAATGCCCCCTTTCTTTCCCCCCCTTATCCCTCCCTTCCCACCCATCCTCCCCAGTCCCTTTCCCTTTGGTAACTGTTAGTCCATTCTTGGGTTCTGTGATTCTGATGCTGTTTTATTCCCTCAGTTTTTTCTTTGTTCTAATACTCCACACATGAGTGAAATCATTTGGTACTTATCTTTTTCCTCCTGGATCATGTCATTGAGCATAATACCCTCTAGCTCCATCCATGTTGCTGCAAATGATAGGATTTGTTTTCTTATGGCTGAATACTATTCTATTGTGTATATGTACTGCATCTTCTTTATCCATTCATCTACTGATGGATACTTAGGTTGCTTCCATTTCTTGGCTACTGTAAACAGTGCAGCAATAAACATAGGGGTGCATCTGTTTTTTTCAAACTGGAGTGCTGCATTCTTGGGGTAAATTCGTAGAAGAGGAATTCCTGGGTCAAATGGTATCTCTATTTTGAGCATTTTGAGGAACCTCCATACTGCTTTCCACAATGGTTGAACTAATTTACATTCCCACCAACAGTGTAGGAGGGTTCCCCTTTCTCCACAACCTTGCCAACATTTGTTGTTGTTTGTCTTTTGGATGGTAGCCATCCTTACTGGTGTGAGATGATATCTCATTGTGGTTTTAATTTGCATGTCTCAGATGACTAGCGATGTGGAGCATCTTTTCATGTGTCTGTTGGCCATCTGAATTTTTTCTTTGGAGAATGGTCTGTTCAGCTCCTTTGCCCATTTTTTAATTGGATTATACTTTGTTGAGGTGCATGAGCTCTGTATATTTTGGATGTCAATCCTTTATCGGATCTGTCATTTATGAATTTATTCTCCCATAATGTAGGATACCTTTTTGTTCTGTTGATGGTGTCCTTTGCTGTACAGGTTTTCAGAAGTGGCACAGGTATAGTGCCACTTCTTTATTTTTGCTTTTTTTTCCCTTTCCTGGGGAGATACATTCATGAAAAAGTTGCTCATGTTTATGTCCAAGAGATTTTTGCTTATGTTTTTTTCTAAAAGTTTTATGGTTTCATGACTTACATTCAGGTATTTGATCCATTTCAAATTTACTTTTGTGTATGGGGTTAGACCATGATCCAGTTTCATTCTCTTACATATAGCTGTCCAGTTTTGCCAACACCAACTGTTGAAGAGGCTGTCATTTGCCATTGTATATACATGGCTCCTTTATCATATATTAATTGACCATATATGTTTGGGTTAATGTTTGGAGTCTCTATTCTGTTCCACTTGTCTGTGGCTCTGTTCTTATGCCAGTACCAAATTGTCTTTATTTCTGTGGCTTTGTAGTAGAGATTGAAGTTAGGGAGCGAGATCCCTCCCACAGTATTCTTCCTTCTCAGGATTGCTTTAGCTATTCGGGGTCTTTGGTGGTTTCATATGAGTTTTTGAACAGTTTGTTCCAGTTCATTGAAGAATGCTGTTGGTAATTTCATAGGGATTACATTGAATCTGTAGATTACTTTGGGCAGGATGGCCATTTTGACGATATTAATTCTTCCTAGCCAAGAGCATGGGATGAGTTTCCATTTGTTAGTGTCCCCTTTAATTTCTCTTAAGAGTGTCCTGTAGTTTTCAAGGTATAGGTCTTTAACTTCCTTGGTTAGGTTTATTCCTAGGTATTTTATTCTTTTTGATGCAATTATGAATGGAATTGTGTAGATTTCTGTTTCTATTAGATCATTGTTAGTGTATAGGAAAGCCACAGATTTCTGTGTATTAATTTTGTATCCTGCAACTTTGCTGAATTCTGAAATTACTTCTAGTAGTTTTGGAGTAGAGTGTTCGGGGTTTTTTATGTGCAATATCATGTCATCTGCAAATAGTGGCAGTTTGACTTCTTTACTAGTCTGGATTCCTTGGATTCCTTGTATTTCTTTGTTTTGTTTAATTGCCATGGCTAGGGCCTCCAGTACTATGTTGAATAACAGTGGGGAGAGTGGGCATCTCTGTCTTGTTCCCGACCTTAGAGGAAGAGCTTTCAGCTTCTTGCTGTTCAGTATGACATTGGCTGTGGGTTTATCATATATGGCCTTTATTATGTTGAGGTACTTGCCCTCTATACCCATTTTGTTGAGAGTTTTTATCATGAATGGATATTGAATTTTGTTGAATGCTTTTTCAGCATCTATGGAGATGGTCATGTAATTTTTGTCCTTTTTGTTTATGTGGTGCATGATGTTGATGGATTTTCGAGTGTTGTACCATCCTTGCGTCCCTGAGATGAATCCCACATGGTCATGGTGTATGATCCTCTTGATGTATTTTTGAATTCGGTTTGCTAATATTTTGGTGAGTATTTTTGCATCTATGT